AGCAGTCATGGATCATTATCTATGTTGTGCTCTCAGCAAATAGTGCAACCATGTTCCATACCAAAAATTAAGCGTCAAACTTAATTTCATCCTTCCCCCTCTTGCATTAGAGCTACACAACCACTTCTCAGCACTATTGATGCTCCTGCTCCTGTCACTCTTATTGTCTGGACTTGTGAGTCCCTTCCAGACACTCCTGCCCCCTTGCTAGTCTGCCTACACTATGACCTTACTCACAACCAGAGTGCTATTTGCAGTGTAGTTCAGATTATGACATTTCTGGCTTTGTATCGTTCTTCTAATTTCCCCTTAATATCATTCTCTACAAACAGTGAAAAATACAGATTACTGGGCCAGACAGAACAAAGGGTAAGGAGCTTGCCTTGCATGTCCAGACCAGGGTTCAATTCCTCGACCTACATATAGTTCCCTGAGCACCACCAGGTGTGATCCCTGAGCACAGAGGCAGGAATAATCTGTAAGCATTTTCAGGTGTGGCCCAAAGAAACAACATAGGGGAAAATTACATAGTTCTTCCCATGACTGATAAAATTCCGTAAGTCTGTTTTTCTGTTTTGTTTGTTTTACGATATCTTCTGCCTTCTTTTCCCTTGTGACTTCCTCGTTTAGACCTCTCCAACTACCCAGGCCCTTTTCTTGCTTTTCAGACACTCAGACAATTTGAGTTCCTTCCTTAGGCCACTATTTCCTTAGGCGACTATTTCCTCTGCTCAGAAAGTCTTTCCTGTAGCCCTTTGTTCAGCTTTCTATCTTTTCTCCCCGGGGAGGAGGCTTCTCTGATTACCCCCCAACTATATCCACCTCGGCTGCACTATTTTCTTCATTGCAATTAGCATCACATGAAGCCTTATGTTACTTGTTTACCAGTTTCTAGCATTTAATTTCATTTAATTGCAATCTTCATCAGGATTTATATGTTGCTTCTTAGCTTATTAGTTTTTATTATTTTATTTGATTGTAATACAGAGAATCAAATCCAGAGTCTCAGGCATGCAAGATATGAACTTTACCCCTCAGTCAAATACTAGCTTGGAAATATTACTTCCAAAAAATTAACAGTATAAAAAAGAATGATAATCTAATTAGAAAAGGTATGTTTTTTTTTTAAATTATACCAGTCTCTAAAGGAGGTATGGGAAAGTATACATTCTATTTTTTCTCTGGATGAATAAATGAAGGAATGAATGATTTCAAATGCCAAGGTTGACATTTTTTTCAAAATTAAAAAATTGCAAGGTATTAAATTCTTGTACTCTGAATTCTTGTACTAATGTAGGACCATTAACTAAACTTCTTCCAGGGAAAATCCTATAGAAAAAGTAGAATAGGATGAAAATAATTCAATTTGATAAAATAAGTCGGACTTGTATTTATTATAAGGCTAATTCCAGACACTCGGACAAGCTGAGTGTCCCGTTCAAGGGTCAAAAGTGTTTGACCAAACATGATTGCCACTCAAAGCCTCTCTTACAAAACACAGTACCCAAAAGAAGAGAGAGAGAACAAGGGGGAATACCCTGCCACAGAGGCAGGATGGGATGGGGGGGGGGGAATAAGGGCTGGGGGGGGGGGATGCTGGGACCCGTGGTGATGGATGACGGGCACTGGTGGAGGGATGGGCACTTGATCATTGTATAACTGAAACCCAAGCACAAAATTTGTAAGCCTATAACTGTACCTCATGGTTTTTCACTAATAAAAAAAGAAAAAAAAAAGTGAAAAAAAAAAGTGTTTGCCTTGAAAGAAACAGGTTGTCAGAAACAAATCAGCTCCACCAGGATTGATTCCTGAGATCAAAGCCAGAAGTAGGTCCTGAGTACCACAGGGTATGTGGCTCAAAGCTCCCCCAACATCTATTTTTTTTGAATCACTGTTGGAAAAGTTACAAAGCTTTCAGGTTTAAGTCTCGGTCATACAATGATCAGACACCATTCCCTTCATCAATACACATTTTTCACCACCAAGAACCCCAATATACTCCCCTCTTCCAAAATCTGAAAAAAAAAATTTTTAAAGATAAAGAAAGGTCAGAGAGATATTGCAGGTAGTAAGGAGTTCATCTTGTATGCACCCAAACCAGATTCAATCCCTTGTGTCACTTATAGGTCCCCTGAGCCTAACCAGGAGTGATCACTCAGCACAGTGCCAGGAATATACCCAGAACACAGCCTGACATAGTTTGAAAAACAAAATTTTAAAAATGAAAAAAAAAGAAGAAAGGAGGGAAGTAAAATCTGAACAGTGTAATTAGTAGGGGAAAAAAAGAAGGAAATGAGAACAGCTGTCCTTGGAGACACTGCTGGTCAATGGCCAGACTGGGCCCTGCACTTTCTCTGGCTCCTGCTTCATCAGCTGTCTGCTCTGTCCTTTTCTAACCTCTGTCAACTTCTTTCAGAATTGATCCTCATGCAGCTGTTCATCTCACAAAGGAGGAAGAATCACTATTTCAAATCAATTAATTTCAATGGCCAAATGAAGTGAAAAAAGGTAAACGGACTACTCTAAAATCTCTTGCTCTTCAGTACAAGGTTATCTATCATTGAAGCAGATATACTAGAGCACACTCCATATTCCCATTAGGTAAGATTCCCTTAGGGAATTAGATACAAAAGCCATTTTATTTTGTAAAATTTGTATTAAATTTTCTCTAAAAATATACACATATGCATGTATCTTATATATGGTGAGATTGCATATATTTTATCACTTGATCACTTGGTCACTTGACATCCCGTTACTCATTGATTTGCGAGCGGACACCAGTAACGTCTCCATTCTTTCCTGTTGTGTGCTAGTGTAGCCCAGTGGCGTCTGCTCACTCGAGGAAAACGAAGAGCCTCAAACAGATCGTTCAGGGTCTTGACGAAGAAGTCTGACCATCTCGTAGGTGGGCAGCTGTGGGAAGCCAAGAGCCCTCTCATAGACCCTAGCCGTGGTTCCCATGTTAGGAACTGCTTGGGACAGACATTGGTGACAGTGTCCCAGGGCTTCCTGACCTCAGCGGATGCCTGATCTATAGCCACATAACATCAGGCTGACAGTTATCTTATCTGGCCTTATCTATAGTAACCTCCAGGATGCCTCTACTGCCCTAAGACCCTTTGATATACAAATGTAAAGCTCAGGATGCACCTACTGCCATAAGACCCTTTTGATGTATAAATGTTTACCTTGAATGTTAGGTAAAGCTCTTGTTGCTGACCTTACAATATATGGTTATATTGCCTCTGCTCCTGTCTTGGCTGCCCCGGACCCTATATAAACAGCCTGTAGCCCCCAATTAAGTGCTGTACCTTTTTCTCTCTATTTCTAAACTGTACTCTGTCTCTTGTGTCTTGTGTTCATTCGGTCGGTCCTTCCCTGCACCTACGGATCCTAGGGCCACCTCCGTGGGCCGGAGAGTGGTTTTGCAGACCCCCCGCAGGCAGCCACACTATCTTTTGACGTTCCAGTGGAATCTAGTTGGTAATGGCTGTAGTCCAGCGGTCATCTCCAAATTTCATTACATGTTCAGCTCATCTGATTTTCAACGCTTTGGCAAACAAGACAGTGTCCCTGATTCTCGTCATCGACAGAGGTTAGAATTCCGGGATCTCTCTCTCATTTGAGTGAAGTGTGTTACCCCAAGAATAGTTCTTTCAATTCCTCTTTGGGAGACTCAAAGAGCATTCTCACCCTGTTTTCATAGGGCCCAGGTCTCTGAGGCATATGTTAATGCAGGAAGAACAGTGGAATCAAAGAAATGTGCTCGAAGCTGAAAGTTCTTCGTCCATATATTTTGTATATGTATATATTCTTTTATTTGTTTTGGGAGCCCACACCGAGTATACTCAGAGCTTACTACTGGTTTGGTACTCAGTAGTCATCTTGACAGTGATCAGTTGGATATCAAACCAGTGTCACATGTGAGCAAGGCTAGTGATGATAGTGAGGATTTCACCTTTCATTCATCCAAACCAGATTCAATCCCCTGTATCACTTATGGACCTCTGAGCCTCACTAGGAGTATCTCTGAGGACAGAGTCAGGAATATACCCTAAGCACAGCTTGGTGTGGTCCCCAAACCAGAATTTTTAACTTTTAATTTTTTAAGTCTTAACCTCTCGCAGAGCCTGGCAAGCTTTTGAGAGCATCTTGCCCTCACAGTAAAGCCTGGCAAGCTAGGTAGTAAAAACAAGTCTCACAATTTGTTGTGAGATGTTACTAGTGCTCACCCGAGCAAATTGATGAACAGTGGGAGAACAGTGCTAACTTCTGTATAATCTCCTTAGCACCAATAGTTTTATAAATACATATACATATATATGCATATATATACATATGCTGTCTATCTTATAATTATAAATAAACTATTTTAACTCATTTTCTGCAGTACTAGGTAATTATAAGAATATGCCTTGAAAAGTCATGAAATTATAGCAAAAACAAATGTATTAGTCATAATTATCTAACTATACATTTTATACAATAGGACATATATGATATATTTTAAACAGCAAAGTCATCACTGTCACTGTCCTCCCATTATTCATCGATTTTTTTGAGTGGGCCCAGTGACATCTCCATTTTGAGACTTGTTATTGTGTTTGGCATATTGGATACGCCATGGGTATCTTGCCAGGCTTTGCCATGCGGGTCATATACTCTAGGTAGCTTGCTGGGCTCTCTGAGAGGGGTGGAGGAATCGAACTCGGGCCAGCCATGTTGGCTGTGTATAAGGCAAACGCCCTACCCGCTGTGCTATCACTCCAGCCCAGCGAAGTCATAGTTTTAATTTATTTTATATAATCTTTAAAATTATTTTTATAATATATTCACTATTAAAAAAGAAAAAAGTATATACATAATCTTGCTCTCTCAGCCAGAATTATTTATAATTTGGAGTATGATCCTAGATATGTTGTATATATGAATTTGTGAAGTTTCAGGCATAAACAATATAAATGCAGATACAAGTTTTTTTAAAATTTTTTTCATTTTCAGGGGTACTGCAGACAAAGGTCCCATTACCACAAATTATGCAATTGAGTCTCCCGCATGTGGACCAATCACACGGTCACCGCATCTGGAATGCAGTGAGTAAGACTTGCTCTGGAAAAAACCACCTTCATGGTCAAGGTATCTTCCTACCAGGTAACTATATGCATATTCTACTTTTTAGGAAATTGAACTGCAAAAAATACATTAGCATACTTTACTCATTTATCATAGCACAGCAGTAGGGAATTTGCCTTGCACGCAGCCAACATGGCCGACCCGAATTCGATTCCTCCGCCCCTCTCGGAGAGCCCGGCAAGCTATCGAGAGTATCTCGCCCGCACGGCAGAGCCTGGCAAGCTCCCCGTGACGTATTCAATATGCCAGACACAGTAACAACAAAGTCTCCAATGGAGATGTTACTGGGCCCGCTCGAGCAAATCTAAGTATTTAAATTACACAATTAAAAGGAAAATATGCTATTTCCTTATAGGTGTTTACAAAGTTTATACCATGCTCTGCACTGTCACTTCAAAAGACTAACCATGATAAAGAATTTCTGATTTTTTTCCTTATGACTGTCCTCACTTCTCTGATTGTTGAGCCCACTGGGGAAGAAGAGGTGTGAGAGACATTCACAAACTGCTTTATTTTAATTTTTCAAAGACTAAGAGACCTTGTGAATCATAGGTTCCCAAGAGCTCCCCAAGAATGTAATCTAGCTTGGATGGAGAATGAAAAATATCTATTGGTTATCTGCACAAAATATCTATTGGTTATCTGCACAAAGTGAGAGTATTCTCTACAAGCTAAACTTATAGTATCCATTATAATATCCATTGTAACCATGAGATGCGAGACTTGAAATCTGAATCCTCTAGGGAAACTCAGGTTTTTGGACTTCAGCTTGATTCTTAGGTCAGAGAACTGAATTTATAGTTAAATTTTGGCTGCTCCATTCTGTTAAAATTTGACAACTGATGAATCTTCAAACAATTTATTATTCATTGGCATTATTCTTAATCTAATTATTCAGTTTTCTTGCATATGAAAAAATATAGTTGACATGATTTGGAATGTGATTGGATTTGAATGGACTATTTGTTCTGATTGATTCCAGAGTTCTGGGACATAGACTCTCGACTTCCCATTAGCTGTGCTTCAAGTTGCCCAAAAGAGAGGGGTTGGTATTGAGGGATGACCTCAAGAAAGTAGAGAGCTACCCAAGGAGCTAGGCACAATCCTGCATGAGCAGATATTTTCCAAGTTGCTAAGAAAATACAAATGTGGAGAATGTGGAACTTCCCTGAGAAATATTTTGACTAAATATTTTTACCTCTTGACTCTTATTGTTTACCAAAAAGTGCAGTGAATTACCTGACCATAGGGCTATAGCCAGTACCTTATGTATGCAACATATAAAACTTGTCTTTCAGACTTCTTGTGCAGGGAATTTAATTTTTACTGGTTTTCCTCTTTGTGAACAATAGGATTAAGTTTATTTTTTCTGAGACCATTTTGCTGATTCTCTTTTCTCTCCATTGTTCTGTCCCTAAATCTAGCCCAAATAGAGAGCCAAGCACACTTCCGCACACTTCCATTCTTTCCTTTTTTTCTTCCTTTCTGGTGTGTTTGTTTGTTTTGGCCACATCCAATGGTGTTTTGGAGCAAGTGCCTGCTCCTTACTTGGGTATTCCTCTCAGTAATGCTCAGGGATCATTCAGGTACGAAGAGTCAATCCTCAGGAGCTGAACTCCAGGCATATGCAAAGCATATGCTCCATTCTCTCTGGTTGTAGAGTTTCACCCTTAATAGGTTTTTCCTAATGAAAGGTTAGGATGTTCAGATTCTGTTCTAACTCTTGTCTCTCAGTTCAGACCATTGGTGGGGAACAAAGAGATTCTATTTATAATATTCTCTTCCCAAAGCATTAAAAGTTGCTATAATCATTGTTATTCATCACTTTAAATTTGTGGCAATTAAGGCATAGGCAGATTATGTAATATGCCCAGGTTTGTACACATGAATCGGGCATCATATGAATTTGTCTTTTATGTTTTTCAAAAGTACAATATGCTCCCCATCAATCATTACTTAAAATGTAGTTATCTGCCTAACAATTTTTAAAATGCCATTTAACAAAGCAATTAGCTAGAAACATGACATTTTTATTATCTATTTCTATTAATTTTTCTCTTGACATACTTTAAAATCTCCTTTAAATGTAATTCAAGATAGCTTGCTTCTCTTATAAGAATCCAGATGAAATTTCTAACATCAGGTTTTATTAACTTTGGGTAAAAATTTGTGTTCAAAAAATAGCACATAGATATACAGATTCAATCTTAGCCACAGAGATTTGACATGTCAGATGCTATTTGCTACAAATTCAAATAGCAGCTTTAGAAATTTTAATTGCCAGGCCGCAATTTATCACTCTCTGGGGTACATTTTTCACTCTTATTTAATTTGTTATTTGGTGTTCTGATTTATATTTGTGTAAGTATCAGCCACTGAAATGGGTTTGCATTAGGCTGCTAATGTTCTCAAGTATTTTTTAGTTTAGGCACAATTTCTGTTAGTGGCTCTGGACACCAGGGAATGAGTTGCTGCCGAGGAATAAGCTCGATAAGCAGTAATTTTTCTAGTTTATAAAACATTGTAGGATATATTTGCTAGAGTCTCTGGCAATTCACCAGTCAATTTCCCAACACAGCCCTTGCTTCTCATCTCCCTTTCCCACCCAATGCCCACTGTTATATCAGGTTACCTCTTCCCTTTCCCCTCTAACAACAAAGACAAATTTTGTACAGATAGTTCTAATCCAAGATTAGTAATGTTACTGAGAAAACTTACTACACTCTTGATCTCCTTGCCAGTGTCTTTCTGGAGAGAAGAATCACTGTTCATCATTAGAGTTGTTGGAGCAGAGAAAACAATCACAAAACACAATTTGTGAAGATTGTTATCTTAAAAAAAATAACATGTAATTTCTGCTCCAAACATATGTTTGCTTTGTAAAAAAGCTTAATTTTGTTTTTGTCTTTTTGTGTCATACCTGGAAATGCTCAGGGATTACTCCTGGATCTGCACTCAGGAATTACTTCTGGAAATGATCAGGGAGCCATATGGGATGCCAGGGATTAAACCCAGGTCTGCCACTAGTGCAAGATAAATGTCCTACTCACTTTACTCTCACTCTGGCTTCCTCATCCAATGAGGCAGCCAAGAGAGATTCCTCAGTTCAGAGTTAGGAGTATGCTCTGAGCAGCACTGGGTGTGGAACTCCCTCACCTCCCAAATCATTTCATTCCTATTCATTAAGAGTTCATTGTCTTAGGATCTTCAGCAATACCAGAAAGGCCTAGATAAAGTCTAGCATTTTAACAGCTGACACCACAAGAATAATCTCATCTTGGGTACTAAGAGACCTCTGGATGCTGAATGAATCTCAAACTATGCAAAATAATACTGTGTTTGTCCTCATAAGAAAAAGGCAAGAGGTGTATTTATCTTTTCCAATGGTTATTATTATTATTTTAACCCTTCCTGAGTGTAGCAAGGTAAAAAAACTTAATTGTAGCAACTGGAAAAGAAGCACTTCCTAGAAAAAAATTGAATGCTACATGAGGATATTCTACCAGGATTCAATGTGAGACCCTAAAGGCTTGTGTATTGACTGAAGCCTTAACAATAAAAAGAAAATTTAAGTTTCTCTGCACAAGAAAAAGAAAATTTTATATTTGTTTCTAGAAGTTGTTAGTCGCTCCTGAGAAAAAAAGAAGACATAGAAGTCAGGGAGGAACCAGAGAAGGGTGTCTAGATGTTTGGGTATAGATAGTGAGTAGTGGCAAAAAACATCCAGTATTATGAGGACTAGAATAAAAATGTCCACTGTAAACTCAGAAACTCCAAACAATATTTTTATAAATCTGAAAAATTAATCTTTGTGTATCTTCTTTGTCCTTGTTATTTTCTTTATGTAAAACAATGAAAGAGGATTAGTTTCCCATTGGTGAGGAAGAGAGAATAATCACACATGAGGAATGAGTGGGGCTGGAGCCTTGCATGAGGCAGAACTGGGTTGATTCTCCAGCATCCCATGTGGTCTTTCAAGGACCTCGAGGAATAATTCCTGAGGGTAGAGCCAGAGAAGATCCCTGAGTATAGCCAGGTGTGACCCCCAAAAAGCTAAATAAATAAATAAAAGGAGAAATAAGAAAAGGATAGTCTCCCAGACATCAGTAGAATAGTCCCAGAAGAGCCAAGCTAGGCACCAAAACAAAACAGAAACCACTTAGTTTCGACCAAGGACATATATTTAAAGCCCATTTGGATGTACTGATATAAGTGTTTCACATCAAAATCAATTATTATTATGTAAGGGGAAGATTTACATTACTTCAAAATTTAGATATTATTTCCAAAGTGTAATATCACTTTTATTTCCAAAAGGCAATATCACTTTTACTCATTCTCCTGAGAAAAATTTGCATGACAGCAAGCAGGAGGAAGGTACCATGATTCTTATTTAGAAGTTAAAAACCAGAAAGATGGGTCAAAGTCCACACACCTAGAGAATGAAATTGTTTATAAATCCAGAAATTCTCATTACCAATTTAAAATCTTGGCCTATTCTTCTATTGCTTAGTATATTTGAATAAAAATGAACACATATAATTATAGAAAAAAATCATTCACATCTTAAACTTGAATGTCTTAACAGATTCTTTAATTCAAAAGAATTTTAATAAAAGTTTCTGTGTGAAAACTAGGTCATTTGCATATTTTTCTTAGATTTAAATACCTAATTGCTAGGGTATTTGCATTTTTCTATCTGATATTGCCAGCACATTCGATTCATCTACATATTCCTGTTAGTCTAGTTACTGAAAATGAGTGGCCTTTCTTACCTATAATTAGAATTAACTTCAGCTTCAACACATTCAAGAAAGAAAATTTTGCAGAGCATAAAGAGGAAATAATTTCAGACCCAAATCTTGTCAACTCTTTTAAACAATGAGGTAGTTTGATATTATAGCAGGGTTCCTCAGGTTATATAAAGCAGTGTTAATATTGAAGTTATCCTAATAAATGCATTATACATTAACTTAGAGATTAAACCAAGGGGAGCTATCCTTTTTCAAATGTACAGATATTTTAA